CAAATATCTTTGGGGCTCTATTCTTTCTTTCTCTTCATCTACTATCTTTGTGTCTCATTCTGTATTGGATTTATTCTCACACTTCTGATTTTTTTTCCCCACTAGGCTTTAAACATAGCTACTAGCAGTTTCCAGGCTCATATTCCAACTGTGCTTTTAGAGAGGGACTCAATCTCTTCTGCTAGCTCCTACTAAGGACTCTGATTGGCTTTGTTGGTTACATGCTCATTACTTGGTCCAACAACTGTGTGTGTGTGTGTGTGTATGAGCACTAACATTAGTAGTTCTTGCTGGAACCATATTATTATTAGAGCAGGTGTAGTTCATCCAAAAAGAGGTGTACTCTTTTTAAAGAAGAGCCAGGCAAAGGAAACAATAAAAATCCACAACACCTACTAAAATCATCAACTTGGAAATCACACATAATTCCATAGATAACTGTGCATTTGTATAACTTGCCAATTTTGGCACTCTCTGTTGTAACTCTCTCTTGGACTATAAACCCCAAAGGGATGGGAAGTTACTTAGTTTAACTAATTTGCATAGTGCCTAACCATGGCTACAAGCAAAATCCTTTTCTTGACCCAGTTCTTTATTCACAATATCATCTCTCTTTCGCCCCACTTACCGAAAGAGAACTCCCAACACTCTCTTCCCTCCCTTTCATTTCTTAATCTATCTCAATCAGCCTTCTACACTAACTGCTCTACTGGAACGACTCTCATGAAACCTGACAATGGCTTCTAATGTCAAATCCTAGGGCTTCTTCTCAGCCTGATCCTATGTCATATTTTTTTCAGAAGCCTTTGTCTGTTGATATGCTGATAATTTTCTGTTCCCTCTGACCACTGCTCCTCAGCCCATGTTGCTGGCTCCACTTGTCTCTGCCTCAGACTCACGTATTTCTTAGGTTCCATGCTCAGCTTTCTCTTCCAACTCTCCATGCCTGCTATGTCATATATACCTCCACCGCTTTGCTTGTCTCCATAGGTATGTGGCTTCCGTGTCTGAATCCTGAACTGTTAGCTGCCTCCTAAATGTTTTCATATAGACACTTGCAAATATTACAGTTTGAACATTTATTTTATTTTGTATTCATTTCGCACCTTATTTCTAAAGGAATCTCAGAGGGTTCAAACTACCATTTTCGCTTCCTGTTGACATCTTACTCCAACTTCAGGGTCAAGCTGAGAGTTGCCTTCATGGGGAAGCCTCCCCACATTCCTACAATATAATGAATCATCACTTGAGATCTTATGTCACTTTCATTGTACCATGGTAATAGATTTCTATTATAAAAAGTTGTGTCAGCATCGCCAAAGATTTGGGAGTTACTTGAAGGCAAGGATCAACCTTTTACTCCTTCTCCCTTCACCCATCCAATGCTGAGCATAAGCTCTTGCAGACAGGAGAGGACTCAGAATCTGTTCTAATTCTGGCCTCTCTGAATTGAACTAGAACAGGAGGGCAGTGCTTGATGCATCAAATAGGTAGTTTTAAAGCAAATAAAAGGAAAGTATTCTTTTACACAGCAGGGAGTAAACTTGTTACTCATCTAGGTAGAAGAATATAGAAGATGAAAATACACATAGTTTCTACAAGAGTTTATCAAACTTCAGTTTAAGTTTAGAGAGATGAGTAATGTGTTACCAGGGAAAAAGAGGGACATGACTTACCTTTCAAGTGTTGGGCACAGTTGACAATGACCACGATTTCTCAGGACTGTCCGGGCTCACACAGGACATCTAGTCACCCACAGATTTGGCAACAGTTCAATTCTTCTGTTCAATTCAGATCACCAAGCTGGCTAATACACGCTTTCCACTTCACTGAAAGCTCTGGAGACACAAACGCTTGTCCACACCCCGGAATGAATCCTAGCTGCAGTTCAGCACAATTAGTTATTTGTTTCCTCTAACATCTGAACCTTGTGAGATTCAGCCACCTCCTGGGAACCAGCCGTCTGCCAACGAGGCATGAATAAAACAGAGAAGGTTCCAGCTGGCATCACCTGCTGTGTTTTGCCTTATTTCTCTATACACATTTCTAGACTTCTGAAATCCAGGGGCCTCTCTCAAGAGGACGTATGCCACATAGGCTGGGCCTCGAGATCTTGATTCTGTCGTTGAATTTTTCATTTTTGAGCTTCAGTCTGACTTAGGCATTAGAAAATGGATCTGAGACCCCGATCCTCAGATTCTCACACTGTTCTGACCCTGGCCGCCCTCACGTTCAAACCCTTTCCGTTACCCGCCTAGTTATTACTAATCTTCAGATCCTGTACAATCTCTGTTTAAAAGCTCTGTCAAGATTTCTCTGTTGTCCTATAATCTGACAGTTTGGGCTCATTTTCACTACACTGCCGTAAGGCGTGATGTTGTTGGGGATTCACTCCTCTTCCTTCCTGTGGTATCTCTCTGTGAATACACAGGTGACCCTTTCTCCTCCTTTCCACTGCCGTTGTCTTAGTTCAGCCTCTTGTGACAGCTCGCTTGCTCTCTTACTGACCATCAAAGTTGTAGTGGTTAAATACCTAGGTTCTGGTGTCAGATGACTTGGGCTTAAATCCTGGCTCTGTCACTTACTAGCTGTGTGGCTTTGGGTATGTCACATACTCTCCCTGAGCCTCCGTTTTCCCATCTGGGAAACTAGATCAAACTCATACCCATCTCCTAAGGTTATTGGAATGATTAAAGGAATTAATATGTAACATATAAAGTGCCAAGAGCAGTACCTTGCTTACACAGGAACTGCACAAGTATTAGTTATTATTATCCTCCATGCTATTCAAGACACTGTTTTGCATAGAACACTGGTTTAATTTTTATTTTTAAATTAAATTAAATTTATTAATTTTTTTGGTGAGGAAGATTTTCCCTGAGCTAACATCTGTTGCCAAACTTCCTCTTTTTTTCTTCTTGAGGAAGATTAGCCCTGAGCTAACGTTTATGCTAGTCTTCCTCTACTTTGCATGTGGGATGCCTCCAGAGCATGGCTGATGAGCGGAGTATGTCCGTGCTCGGGATCTGAACCCGCAAACCCAGGGTGCCAAAGTGGAGCATGTGAAACTTTAACCACTTGACCATGGGGCCAGCCCGCCAGTTCAATTTTTAAGTGAAAAAGGTTTATTTTTTAGCCATTCTTTATGTTGGCAAACGCTCTGCCCCCCACCCCCAACAGCAACAAATTCAAGAGAGCATCTTGTAGGTAGGATGCTTTTGAGAGAAATTTAGTGAAGATGAGGTCTTCTAAGTGCAGGTAATCCTCAGAGATGAGACCGGAGAGGTAGGTGAAGGAGGGACTGTAGAGGACCTTGAACACATGGCAAAGTTGCTCCAGGTTACGATGAAGGCAGAGGAGAACCCTGAGAGTTTTGAGCTGAGGAGTGACAATGAACTCTGAGAGATTAATCTGCAGGAGACGCTTGACTCGATTAAGGGAGAAAACGGCTGGTTTGCAAGGCCAGCCCTACAGAGTCTAGGTTTCATTCATTCATTAAAAAGTTTCGGTGGGCATTTACTACTACGTGCTGGGTATTTCCTGGGGGTACAATGATGAGCAATATTGACACGTTCTTGTCTTAATGGAGTTTATGGTCTAGAGGGGAAAAGACACAATGAAAACGAGCAGCTACAACAAAGCATGGTAAACGCTACAGAGGGCATGGAGACTGCCCCTTCCCCGTTCATCTCTCCCCTTCCGTTCTCACCCGTTCACCCTAGAGGAGCTCGTGGTGTGGGTGCAACTGCCTCTACTCCAACTCCAGGAGTGGGGTCTGATTAATGTAAGCCAGCTGCTTCTATCTCTGATACACATTCCAATTACTTAGGGAATTGAACAAAATTATAGACACCATGGTGCCCACCCTTAGAGGTTAATTGATCTGGGGTCGAGCCTGAGAACCGGTGGTGTAGACTCAGCTCATCAGGTGATGCTAATGTGCAGCCAGGGCTGGAACCACTGGTCTAACCGGGCTGGGTACTCTCACTGCTTTTGCTAGAATGTTTTGTTGAGAAATTGTTCTGGAGATGGAGAACATAGACCTAAGACAGCCATAGCCCCTGGCCATTGTGATTGGTTTGGGGGGTCATCAGAGTGAACCTTAGTATGTTTGTTCAATTGTTCTCTGAAGTGGCACTTTCTTTTCCCTGGATGTAAGCAATGAAACAGTTTCTTGTCACCATCTTGCAAAGCCAACTCATGGAGTCAAACGTAGCCAACAGAATAGTGGAGAAATGGGGCTTGGAGCCCTGAGCAAAGAAGGCTTGATGCTTCCCTACCCTGGACTTTGTAGTTACATGAACCAAATAACACCCTTTAAATGTTTAAGCCAGTCTGAATTAGGTTTACTACTACTTGGAGCTGTAGTGCGACAGTAAAAGCATCCTAACTGATTGAAGAGATACCTTATGGCAAGTTCAAGGTGCTTAACACTGAGCAAAGATCAGAGAAAGGAGTAGGTGCTGGAGAGGAAGGAGATATGCTGCTTGTAATCGGAGGGGCGATGTGACCTATTGGAAAGGATATGTGCTTTAGGGTTGGACATACCTGGGTTTCAATTCTAGTTCTGCCGCATACTGGCTCTCTGACCTCATTTCCTCATCTTTAAATTGAGGGTCTTAATAGCACTTGTAGGATCGTGATGAAGTTTGAGATTAATTATGAAACTGGCCGAACCCGTGCCTGCTGATACATTGTAGATGCTCAAAATACAAGGGCTCTTGTTTTTGTAGTAGTAGTTCTTACCAGATGAATGGTGATGAAAGGTACCAGATTCTAGGGTTAGGGACTGAATGACATACAATAGTGTTCCATAGGGACTCTAGTCAATGGGATGGGGCTCCTGAAGTCTCACCAAGCTTGGATCTGAATGGGTGCAGACATTATTAGGAGTAGCTGGATTAGGAAAGAAGGGACAAAAAATAGAACAAACACTGTATGCTTTAAAGGGCTATTGCTTTAGGCAGAATTAACTGGTTGGATTGCCCATTCTGTTGTAGGTATGGTTCTGTGTAAGGAATCAGTGTTGCTCATCTATAATGAAAATACCCTCTCACTTGTGCACTGCTGGATAAAAACTGATAAATTCATCGTTTTAACAGTTATCAGAAGTAACCTTGTGCTGGGTAAGTAACAATACAATCGGATATATCACTGCTAACTTTATTTCTGTTGCAATCTAGTCATGCCTTCCTAGAAATGTGTTCTAGTCGCCTTAATGAATTTGAGAAATACTCTGGTATCTGATGGAGATTTGGGCAGCATGCTGTTCTTCTTAGAAACACATTTATAAATTTTTTCCTAAGATGGGTTACTTCTATAGAAGGTTATCTAATCTATTATATACTAATTATTTACTAATCTCAGTTTTAGAACACATCTTTTCTTTGCTTTACATCTAGATGCTAGGACAGTGTGCTGTACAAAATCAACGGCCCAAACTTCTCACCTGGAGTCAGGCACTGGAGTCAGCCAGAGAGAATTATGAAAGGAGAGATATCTGAGACCTCCCTCCACCTCCTCAATCACACTCTCCCTCTACACACTGTCCGTTATGGCTTCAACTGCAATTTAAAGAAATATAAGTGGCTAAGTATAGATACCTTTTTCTTAATTAAGCTTTAACTATAATGTGTCTTTGCCTGATCTAACTTTTAATCATTTTTTCTTGTCTTCACTCTTCTCTAAGGATATTGTCTTATTTTCTCATACTTAGGCATGAGGGCTTAACTCTTAATTAAGAGAATTTCCCCCTCAGCCTTTGGCATGAATCACCTTGCCAGCTCTTAGTACCTTAGTAAGAGAATATTTTGTTTGAAATTACTTTTTTAGGGATGCAAGATTCTGCTTTCACGTAGGTTTTCTTAGCCCTAGGCTTGACTTTTGTGCTGAAGGAATAAGATTACCAAGGAAGGCACAAACCTCATGGCTGTCATTTTCCCATCAGATAAAGCTCATAACTGGCTAACCAGTTTTGTGTTACTTCTCCCAATTTCACACGTCTGATATGGGGGAAAAGGCATGGATTTGGGGTTCAAGACCCAGCTTTGTAATTTATCTTTGGGATCCAGGGCAGCTACTTAGCCTCTCTGAAACCTAGTTTACTCCTCTGTAAAACAGACAATAACTACATCCATAAGATTGTTATGAATGTTAAATAAGAAAATATGTAAACCACCCAGCATGGCACCTGCGCATAGTGAGTCCTCAATAAATTTCAGTTCCTTAATATCTCTTACTCCTCTCTTTTGAGGCCTATAACTGGGGTAAAGTTATTTCCACAAAATACTAATTATTATAATTTAACCACTCTAACAGCTTGTAGCATACTTTAAACCTTATTCTCAAAAGAACGATGCCTGATTTTTCTTGGGCTTAAATATAAAGTTCACTGCATTTATTATTTGCCCCAGAATACTGAGAGAACTGGCAGTTAAGAATTTCACAGTGATTATCAGTGATCTTTGATAAGACACGGAAGATAGGCGGGTTTCCAGAAAATTTGGAATGAGCAAATATTCCAAATTTCTAAAGGAAGAACAAAATATGTACCCCAATCCCCACCCCACCAAATGATAGGGTATCCAGCTTGATATCAATCCCCGGAAAAATTCTAAAAATGCAACTAATGATTTGTAAGTGTTTAGAAAAGAAAGCAGCGATTGTTAGGAACTAGTGTGGATTTACTAGAACCAGGACATTCCCTTTTTTTTCTTTTAAATGACTGTAAGTCCTGTGGATCACATTAATGCTGTAGACATAGTGTATTTTTATGCAGCAAAGCATCTAACAAAATTTTCGTGATATCCTTGTGGATGAAATACTTAGAGAAATATGGTCTGGATTTTCTACCTATCTTCCATCTTTATCTTAGTTCTAAAAAGATTTTTGGTGGCTTTAACAATACATAAAATTCAAAAGAAGAGGCCAAAAAAGAGGAAAAAAAAAGAAGTGAGGAAGTTAGAGTAAAGGAAAAACAAGGTTAGGGAGAATAAGACGGAACCACGAGTGTGTGGTTGGTCCATAAGACGTATGCTGTGAGTTTCTGTTGTTCCACACTCTGTACACTCTCTAGAGGTGGTTTACAAATTTTACTGTGGGCTTCCTAACAGTCCAAGCAAAGAGGAAATATCATAAATAAAAGTGTCCATAAGAAAAAAACCCCAGTACTGAGAGCAGAGAGAAACTTCTGTGGGTTCTTGTAAAGAGGACATATGTCATATAGTAAACCATCTGCGTAGTGTATCCTTACATGAAGTGCGATGGTGAGTTTCAAAGGCTGCTTCTTATGAAGTACCTTTGTGTAAACTGAAGCACTATTGTGTGGAAAAAGTTCTACGGGCAGTTAGGGGTTAGGGGTCTTGAAATGCCATCAAGAGATGCAACTCTCTGGTAATCGGGGGAACACTTTTACCATTAGGCTCTAGTTCAACAGCTGATTTAGAAAACTTCTCCAAAGACTATTGATTAAAGAATGGATGCCTCTACCATTCTGCTCTATCCTTGGATACCTAGAATCATCATCAAAGATTAAGCCATTAAAGACATTCCTCACATTTTTGGAGAATGAGAATTTGGGAGGGACAGTGGATACAATGTTAAATGGTCTTAATACCTGAAATGTTGGGTTAGAGATAAAAATTTGGTAGCTGTAAATATATAAAATAGTAGATTTAGGTTACAAGCAAATCCTTGACCTATGGAACCAGGGACACCCTGAAAGCAAAGCAGACTATTTGAAAAGAACCCTAGAAGCTTCTGTGACTGCAAACTCAGATGGGCCTATATTGTGACCTGGCTTCCAAGAAAGCTAAAGTTGCATCTGTTGAAGCATTGTGCCCACAGAGTCCCACTGTACTCTCTTGTGGCCAGATCATGTCTAGAGCTTTGCGTTGAAGTGTTATACCATCTTCCAAGAGAGATACCCATTCAAAGGAGAGTGTCTGGGATGCTGAGCATTCTAAAGGGCAATGTAGAGAAATTGCAGATACTCATCCCGGAAACGAGAAGACAAAACAAAGTAAAACCTGTTTTAGTTGAAGAGACATTATGTAGGTAAGAGAATAATTTCTTCCTGGATTAATCTAGAGGGAAATATGAAAAATTAATGATTGATTATATCCAAAAAATCGAAATGGTCTTTCTTTTTTTGTGTGAGGAAGATTGGCCCTTGGCGCTGAGCTAACAAATGTAGCCAATCTTCCTCTTTTTGCTTGAGGAAGATGGTCCCTGAACTACCACCCATGCCAGTCTTCCTCTAGATTGTATATATGATGTCACCACAGCATGGCTTGATGAGTGGTATGTAGGTCTGCGCCTGGGATCCGAACCTGCAAACCCTGGGCTGCTGAAGTGGAGATGTGAACTTAACCACTACACTATTGAGCCAGTCCCCAAATGGTCTTTTTTATCATTAGTGAGCTTCCCATTGCTGGAAGAACTCAGGGGGAGTCTGGATAGTTGCCAGGAATGTTATAGAAGATAGTCTGATGACACTGAGAGATTGTTCTAGGTGACCTCCAAGTTCCCTTACACTTCTAAGATCTTGTGTGTCTTTATCCGAAATGACAGAAATTTCAACAGTTAAAAAGAATCCACAAGTTATTTAAAAAAGAAAATCAATCTAGTCTCAGACTATTGTTAGTGCCTCAGAAGATCTGCCCCCAAATGACTAAGTTAAAATAACACAAGCAGAAGATGATGAATCATGCTGCTTTTCCTAATGGTCTCTAATGTGCAAAGCCCAAGATCACAGCTGCCACTCTGAGTGACTATGTGGGGAAGGAGAAGTAAATTATGGTAGGTATAGCACTGTAATGTTCCCAGTTGGTAGCTTGTGTGTATGTGATTACCTAGTATTCTTTACCAGCTGTTTTTTAACATTAGTCATACTGATTTAAAACAACCACCCTCTTTTCATTTATCTCAATAAGCACTGTTCTTTTAGGAGGAGTAAGACATTTCATTTAAAAATGGAAGCTTTTCTTAGTTCTTAAGTGCACAAGATGTGATTGTATATATATGTACTTCTCAGGGTCATTGTGAGCCTCAGGTGAGGTTCCACTCTCTCTTCTTATTCTTGGCCCAAGTCAAAGAGGCTGGGCAGGGTCATGGGAGTGGAGAAAATCAGTCTCTTCTTGGACCGGAATAAAGGAAGGCTTTAGTGGGTGGATAAGCTTTTGGAAGGAGGTGCGTGGAAGACGAGCAACCAAGACACATGGCCCCCAACTACCTCTCCCCTTTCCAGTGTGAGGGGACTTAGATTGGTGGGTTTTCTTTCTTGATGCTCCCGGGGCTTCAATGAAGCAATACTCTGAGATGTGCTGGATTGATAACAGGAATATGATTGTACCGAGTCTGGGATGGAGATTGGATCACCAAAGGTAAGCAGGGTCAGGCACTGGAAAGACCCCTGGAGCAGCTGAATCAGGAGTGGAGAGGGGAGGAAACCCTGAAAACCCAACCCAATGTCTAAAGCCAGAATAAGAACCACTGGGGGGTCTGGCTAGTAGAAGCTTGGAAAAAAATCAGATGAAGGTTCTCTGCACAGATTCTGCTAAAAGGGTTGTTGATTTCACAGACTAGCTTTATTGTGTCTCACTTGTAAGACACTCATACCCTGTTAGCAGGAATGTAAATTGGTGCAACCTTTATGGAGTCCAGTCTGGAAATATATATTGAAAGTCTTTAAAAAATTTGTACCATCTTTAATCTAGTAATTATACTTACAGAAATGTGTTCTAAGGAAATAATTATGTCTTCAAAGAAGTGACTACAAGGTCATTAAAGCAGTATTTAAAATAGCCAAGAGATGTAAAATCATCAATGTCCAGAAATAGGAAATTGTTCAAATAAAGAAATAATTTTATATTCATATAATGGAATATTATGCAATAATTAAAATTACATGATAATTGAATATTGTTGGAAGTAGCTTTAATTGCAGTTAATGGAGTTCTTCTGAAGTCACTGTTAAGTGGTAGGGATCAAATCTGCTCTCGTCAATATTTCTGTTATTCTCCAGGATCTGACACTGTTACAGTCCTGTATCATCTTGTATATCTCAGGGTCACCAAGCTGATAACGTATAATTTCCTTTTACTGAGAACTTTCCATTTACCCTCTTTCTGGAGTTTGCATCAAGGCTTTATGCATGTTGGTATTTATCCGATGTTTTTTCCCCTTTTCTGGTTCTACCACGTGGGCTCTGACCTCTAAATATTGGCATGCCTTCATGTTCAGTTCTTGGACCTATTTGTTTTTGTCTACGCTTACTACCTTGGTAATCGCTTCTAATCTATGGCTCTTGATACCATCCACGTGCTGATAACTTCCAAATTTCTAACCTGGAGCTCTCTCCAAGACTCACATCAACATATCCAACTATTCATTTAACATCTCCACTTGGGTGGCTAATCAACTCAAATGTCCAAAGCTGAATTCCTAATTACCCCCAACGCAAACCTGCTCTTTCCACGGTGCTCCCCTTGTAAGTAAACGATAACTCTATTCTTTCAGTTTCCAAGGACAGAAACTTTGGTGACATTGTTGACTCTCCTCTTTTTCTTGCACCCCGTGTCAAAATTCTCACCAAATCCTGAGGCTACATCTTCAAAGTCTGTGGAGAATTTGACTGCCTCTTCCCACCTGTACCGCTGCCCTCTGGTCCAAGCCACTATCTCTGGGATTGTTCCAGCCTCCTGCTTGGTCTTCCTGTTTCCACCCTTGCCCTCTGTAGTCTATTCTCAACAAAGTGATCCTCCAAAAATCCAAGTCATGTCATGTCACTCTTCTGCTCAACATTCACCAATGGTTTTCACCTCCCTCAGAGGAAAACCCAAGACTTTCCCTGATATACAAGGTCCTGTGTGATCCATCCTCCAACTACCTCTTCTGACCTCATCTTCTATTACTTTTCTCCTCACTCTGTTCCACCCAAACTGGCCTCCATACTGTTCCTAGAACATGCCTGAGTACTGTCCCACCGTAGGGCCGCTGTCTGGAATGCTCTTCCCCTCTTACCCTTATGGTCCCTCCGTCCTCTACATCAAGCCTTTGCTCTAAAGCCACTTTTTAGGTCCAGGACTTTCCTGACCATGCTATTTAAAATCACAGTTCCCTTCCTCCTTTATGTCACTACATCCCTGCCTTGCTTTCTCTCTTCCCCCCATAGCAGCTGTCACCCTCTAACATACTTAATTCTTTTTTATTATCTGTTTCCTCTGACGGGAATAAAAGCTCCGCCAGGATGGAGATTTTTTCTGTTTTGTTTACTACTTCATCCCAAATGTTAAGAATAGTGCCTGGTACACAGTAGACACTCAATAAATATTTATTGATGAATGAATCTACGGATGCTGTATCTCAGGAAATACCAAGATATTACCTTTGTGCTAAGGTGATGAATAAAGCTCGGAGTCACTTGGAAACTTTGAAGTGCTCATGGGATGAATGACTGCTGTAATATCATAAGATGCCCACAGGTAACAAGGGAAAAGGAAGATGAGACCTCTGAGGCTCAATTAGGATGACGGGTGTTCTTTCACTATCTTCTGATTATTTTTCTGTCACTTGACGTGGGATATAGCTTGTTATGATGATGGAGGGATGGGTGCTGAAACTGGGAGAGGGTTGTGAAATATTGTAAGGGGAGATGTTCAAAATATCCCTCTTAAAGCTAACTTGGAGATGCTCATGAGGAAGATATTATCTCATCATTTAAATCTCCTAAGACTATGTGTATCCTACCAGTTTCTATGTTATTTACATTACCAGTTTCTTCAAGGCTATTACATGGGCTACCTATAGGAGACTTCTGATTTTGGTAGAAAGTACAGATTGACAGGGGTATGTATTCATCATATATTTAATTTTAAAAGAAGATTATAAAATACCATGAAGATAGTAATGTTGTTTAGTTAGAAAAAAACCTATGCTTTCTATCATCTAGCTATCTAAAGATATATGTGCCAAGAAGGATATATACAAAGGTCCTAACAGTGGGTATTTCTGGATGTTAGGACTGTATTTTTATTTCTTTTCCTTTAGCTTACCTCTATCTCTAATTTCTAATTTTCTACAGTGACTATATTGTGCTTTTATAATAAAATATAAATTGTGAACATGGTTGTAGAGTCACTAGGCTGTCTGAGGGTTTGGGTAGATTGTAGGCAATGATCATGGAGTCTCAATGTTGGAAATGACTTTTGGGTTATAAGGCCAACCTCTGCAATAGCTTTGCCAAGTGGTTTTCTACTTGTGCACCTCTAATGGCAGAGAGCCTTCTGAGTCAGCCCCTCCCACATACCCACCTATGACTTCCACACGATGGAGGTCCCATCCTTTGGAGTCATAGATTCTGGATTTTTGCAATAGCCTCCTACTTGGTCTACTTCCACTTTTGCTGCTTTATAATCTATTCTCAACAAAGTGATCCTCACAACCCCTCCTCATATCATGTCATTCTTCTGCTCAAAATCTACTTTCCAGCTCCTTCAGAGAAAAGTCAAGGACTTTCCATGACTTACAAAGTCCTCTGTCATCTTATCCATCTACTATATGAAAACCAGCTCCCTTAATAGTTGCTTTGTTTTTCAGTCCATCACCTTCCTGGGAGTTTCATTTTGGACATTATTCTCCTTTTAATGTTCTTTTGTAGTGTTTGTCTTTTGAGTTGAACCCAGTATTCTTAGGATTACTGAACATCCCAAGCAGAGTGTGATGCTTCCTTCCTTGTTCTGGCTACTTTATTTAATTCAGCCCAAGTTTGAATTATCCTATTTAGATGACTTGTCAAGAGAGCAAAGAAAGAAAGATCATGTTCTAGTTTCTGCTTTCTACATTGTTTATGGCTATGGGAATTTTCCATCTCTCTCTCTTTCTCACACTCACACACACATCTATACATAGTTTTGGCCTACTGTAAGGGAACAAAAGTGGGAGAAAGAGAGCTTAAAGAGGATTTGATACTAGGGACTGAAACTTAGGGAAAGATCAAGTCTCTCTTGGTGCTAGAAGTGTTACCAATATAAACAAAATGTATTCTGTTTATTTCGAATTTTTAAAAGCTATATTCTCTCTTCAATTTAATGAGATTAAATTGTCTTCTGTGGAAGGAGCACAATGGTAGGCACTGTTAGTGAAGATGGAAAG